GAAGTAAATCCACAACAGTACTTGAATAAAATCACAGCCTACAGTATATTAAAATATGTAGTAAAATCATTCTAACCACTAAAATACTGGACAAATAAAAAAGTTGGGCCTGGTGCTGAAATGAATGCTACCACTGAGTAGGTAGAGCCACTCTTGTAGCCTCTTTCAAAGAAGTCTCCCAGAGAAGGACCTTGGCACATGATCTTAAGGTCTAAGTGGGTGTGCATGGAAGGAGACATTCCTTCAGATAACCAGTCCCTATCCATTTAGGGTTGGCATACATACCTTAAATCAGGTTTGAATTTCCATCAGTAACCAGTGTAGATGATAAAGGACTGGCGTTATATGACCTTGTTGGCCAGTCCTAGTTAGTTCAAGGAGGAGAAGCAGAGGCACTGTCAAGATACCTCACCTGTTGGTGGAACTTGTCTCCCCACCCTTCCTCCTCTAAAGAAAAACCATGAAAAGTTGCACAGTTCTTTCTGTGTTGGCTGCGAGGGTGGAGGGAGGCTGCTCCAAATTCAAAATCCCAGGTCTGACCCTAGACTGTGTTTCTGAGGTCAGAGATTGGATTCTGATTCTCCTACGACTGTCTGGATATCATCTAGTGACCATAGAATCGTGCCCTATATCAAAAACCGTTGTCGGTGTATTATTGCTTTTAGTTTCTGGTAAATTTCACCTGCAGCTTTCTGCTGTTAATTTTGTTTTGCTCTTGTTGCTGTACTTTGTACAGACTTTGTGCAAGACAAAACTTTTAGGGGATTCCTGACTTACCATGAAAGGGTGCCTGCTTCTGAATGCAACCCATTTGCTCTTGCTTGGCTATTTTTAGCATGAATGGACAAACAAACTGGGAATGTTTTGGTTAATGTGTGGTCTAAACCCAGGTTCTTAGCTTGCTCCCAAACAAGGAGCAATTTGTAAACAAAGAACAAACCCTGGGTTTGTTCATACAAGACTGTCTCTTGTATGGAGCACTAAAAACCAGGATACTGCCACTGGACTGCATGTGGAACAAACTGGCTTGTTTAGCCTCTTAAACTGGTGGACAGAATCAAGCAGGAGCAAATGAATGGTATGCATCAACTTGTACCTTGCTTGTAGTAAGGAAGGAGTTCCAACAATACTGGTTTCCCTTTCCACAACAATCTGGCAATTGTCTAACTATGGCCATAGTTAGAAGCAGTTTGTGAGCTTCTGCGTTTCTTCCCTTCAATCTTCCTCTTTCCCTTTCTGCTCCTCTCATGGAAGCATTTCCTCCTGCTGTTTTCATGGTCGTCATTAATGGGCATCAGTATACGTCTTCCGCAGAACTGGTGATAAAATATGCTTCCAAATCATGTTTTGAGGCCAGTTTGATAACTGGCTTGGGATACTGGTGAATAGTTATTGTTTTCAAAATTTACATATTGCTGTATATTCCAGGATGGAGCTCTTGGAGCTTTTATGGCCAATAAAACAGATAAAATGCAAAAAACAATATGTTATAAAAATACTCAGTAATCCCATAGTTCAGGTGGCCCTGAAAATAAAGCAATGTTGGCACCTGCTTGACCTCCAGAGGCAGGCATTCCAGAGAAAGGGAGCTACAGTGAAGGCTCTTCCCTGGATGGGCTCCTAAGAGGCCACAAATCCATATGGAACAACCAGGAATGTGCCTTCTAATAACCCCAGTGATTGGGCAGGTTGATGAAAGAAGCGGGGCTCTTTCGGTCATCCTGGTACCAAGTTGTTTAGGGCATTGTGCTCTAGTACCAAAACTTTAAACCCAGCCAAGAAGCAAATGGAAAAAAAGCTGTTCCTAACTTAGCTGTGTTAAGTAATTGGGTCATTTCATGTCTGCACAAAGTCAGCAATTAAAGGTGCAATTTGGACCTAGGGATTTGTATCCCACCATCCTTCAAATGCAAAGAGCTTTATTGAGAAGATACCCAGTTACAGAATGATCTGCAGATTCTTCCTCGCCCCCATTCCCAGCACAACATGAGCAATCAGAACTGTTGGGTGGAGGAAGTAGCATTTGAAATACAAAGAATAACAACAAATATGGATTAGAACACTGGAATTGCAATGCTGAGAGACTGGGACTGCATGATCAAAGGATAAAATATCAGCAGACACTGATAGCTAGATATTAGAGCTAGTGGACTTAGCAGCCGGAGAAGATGTAGCACATAAAAATCAAGGGATGGAAGAGATGTTCAAAAATAAATTGGGAAATGTTGTGGAAATTTATGTAGCATAAATATGACTTTATTGAGGATCATCTTGGGTATTTTCCCCTCCATTGTTTTTCAATTCCTTTTACTTTTTCTGATCTGGGCTTTGATGTTCCTGTTTATTGTGTACCTAGAAGCACGAATGGTGTCCAAAAGTATAACAAATAGTTTTAGAAGTCCACAGGGCAGTAGCCAGCCAGACACAACCACCCCTTTCTGCTGATTCCGTTCCACAAGTGCTTGTGCAACAGAGATTTAATGCTTCCTACAAGAAGCCCTGAAAGGAGCAGAAACACTCATTTTTTTGTATTGGAACTGATCAGGAGAGGTCCCTTATGCAAGTGCCACTGATCTGTCCCTTTCCAATAACAAGTGTTTCCCTTTCTTTCAGAAAGGGTAGCTCTCCACCGTGCAAGCAGTGGGTCTTGCTTGCAGAATGGGTGCATTGAGGCAGGATTCTCCAACCAGACACGCCAAAAGTTGCAGTCCATGTTGAAGAAGGCCACTGAAGGGTCACTCCCTTCCATATGACTCTCTGCAGTTACTCAGGGTGCAATCCTGTGCACATTTAGGCAGAAAAGGTCTGACAAGTCCCAGCATGATCCAGCCAGCTGTTCTTACAGCTTTGTTCTGGCTTCATGCATAGGATTGTGTTCTTAGTCTTCTGTGGTGCTAAGCACCTGTCCATGCTGCCCTGAACTGCCTCTCTAAAATTTGATATGAGATAGGATAGGAAGGAGGGCTGGCCCTACCATTTGGCAGAGTGGAGCAGCAGGATCGGTTGGAAGGGAATGACAACAAGGTGCTGCAGGACAGAGGTAATTCTGTGCCATGAGCCCTTCCCTATGGCCCAAGTGCAGATGCTGCCCTCAGTGCAGTGGAAGAGCCTGTCCCATCCCCTGTGGTGAAGTAAGAGTCAGGTGCCAGTCCTGCCAGCTTCTGAATATGGAGCAGGAGTGGGCGAAGTTAGATGGATTCTTTTCCTCTTCCTTGACTGCAGGAGAGACAGAACAGGTGCCTGTGGCTGAATGGATGTTTTCAGAGGGGAGTCTGAGGAATGGAAGCAAACAGGCAGTGACCAAAGAGGAAGTTCTCAGCCTAATTAATAAATTTAAAAATAATAAATCAGTGAGTCCAGATTATATCTTCCCAAGAACTCAGAAAGGATGGATAAAAAGGGATTGTGAAGAGCTCCAGAAATATTTCTCCAAACTAGGGAATGGGCATCAGGATGACACATGTGGTTCAGTGTAACCAAGTGTGAAATGATGCATGATGGGGTCAAAAATGAATGAATGAATGAATGCATGAATCCCCACCTTGAAGTCTAAGTGTATGGGAGCTGAGCTGACCAAGAAAATGGTGGTAACTGACCAAGAAAATGATCGTACGGCCATTGTAGCTCAATGAAATGGTCAACTCACTGTGTGGATACTGTGAAAAAGGCAAAGTCCAAGTTAGGCATAGCTAGGAAAGGAACTGAAGGCAACACTGTCAGTATCACACTCTCCTTGAACAACTATGTGGTGCAATGAGACCTAGGACACTCTGTATAGCTTTAGCCACAGATAATAAAAAATAAAAAGGGTATTGTGGAGTTGGGACAAAGTGCAGAAAAGCGCAATAAAATGATTAAGGGGAAAGGACAACTCTTGCATGAGGAAAGGATGCAACAGCTGGGATTTTAGCTTAGAAAGAAGGTGAGTAAGGGGAGACATTTCTGAGGTGCAGAAATCTAGGCATGGTATAGAGAAAGGGCATGAGATTTTTTTCTCCTTTACTCATAATCATAGACCTCAGGATCATCTCAAGAAGCTGATGGGTGGGAGGCTGGATGGATGAAGGACGGGCCAGCTAGCAATGGCAACAATGTGAGTGTTGAATGAGCAACCGAAACCGTCCACGGACGCTCGTTCTGGTGGCTTTAGGCTGCCTCCAGTGTACACCAGTGGGGGGAGAGAGTGCTTTTGCATCCATGTTCTGCTTGTGGGTGTCTAGTGGGCACCTAGTGGGCACTGGGTGAAGAGAGTGCTGGGCTAGATGGGTTTGTCGTGCGATTCAGCATGGCTCGTCTCATGTCCCTATGCTTGGTTATGCATTGCCAAAAGGTGGGAAACTCATCGTCAAAACAAAAAGAGATTTGTGCATAAAATCTGCATATGCTACTTATATATGTATGTGTGCATTTGGAATTAAGTACTAATTTAAACTGAAATATAAAAGATCCCATCATAGCGAGGAAGGCTAGCTTCCTGTCCAGGCGCTAACTGGCAGCAGAAAACTTCTAGGCTACCACTTTCTCTTCTGGAAGTTATTTATTATTAAATCAGAAAAGGATTGCATATTCTTTCAGACAGATGATATCTCAAAACAGCACTATTGGACTGCTCTTTAAAGGGAGGACTGTCCTCTGTAAAATAGAATGCTTGCCACTGCCTGTCTCTCCTGTGGTTAGTCTGGCCGTGCTATGCACATATTGATGGGAAATCCTTTGAACTGGAAATGTACACTTCCTATCTGCTGATATATGTGGTAAGTGTTAATGAACAACCCATGTTGAACACGGTACTTTCATACATTTCATATATTCAAAGAGCTGCCATTTGCTAAATGGGCTTGAAGAACTGTATTTGCTAAAGAGAAAGTGGAATTGTGGGACGGAGAAATGTATTTAGTTTTTAAGGTACCATGGGACCCTTCATTGGTTTTATTAAAAGGTTTAAATACTCTAATTTTGTGTGTTCTCAAAATTCTCTTTCCTTTTGCTTTTCCCCCCAGGCTGACAAGAAAGAAAAGAGCAATGCCTTGAATATTGCAATAGATAATATGTGCAAGAAGACAAGAGACCTCCGCAGGCAGGTAATTTCCCCTGGGGAGAAAATGTATAAACAGAGGTTCATGTGAGTAATTATGAAAGAAAGAAAAGAGGGAAGAAGGAAAAGGTGTGTTTTCAGCAAATGGAGGTTCTGTCTATGGGTTTCAAGTGCCAGAATCACCAAAGTTCAAGAGCAGCAATCCAAGGCCCCAGTGTTTCATTACTGGACGATAAGCAGATGCAGACCTGGTCAGTCCTTTATACAGGAGACTTCCGGAAAACGAAATATCTTGTCGTCACATGCCATCAAGCCATCTCCAGTGTTCGCCAGCCCTATGGATGAGTGCCCTGCTCAGCTCTCATAAACTCAAGCCAAATGTACACCCGAGATATGAGTATCAGAGAGATATGGTGAGTGAGTGTAGAGCATGGGAGGGAGCGTAGCAAGTCTGGTTTTAGTGCCTGGAGGGGAGACTGCCTGGGAATCCTATGTAACACCTCCTGAAGGGCAATGAAATAATGGAAGAAAAGACCTGCAAAGATCTGGCTGGAACCTGGCTCCCTTGTCAGGCCATTTTCCCCACATCCAGTATGGCTAGGAGGCAAGCTGAGCCAAGATCAAGTCCACAAACACTCAGGTACACTAGTGGCTTCTTTGTGCAAAGTACACAAAGTATGTGGGTTTTTTTACTGCAAGTCTTGCGTGCAGAAGCAGAACTCTGCTTGGATGATGGGCTTGTGGGTGACCATGTGAATGCTCAGTGGAAAGGGCAGAGTCTGGAGAGCTAAGCCAAGGAAATCCAACAGATTCTCATCCTCAAACTGGATTCCTCACACATATCTAGTTAAGAGCTATACTTAATGGATAACATGGTTGTCCATCTGTTGAACATTGCTACTTTTCAATGTCAAGTTTATGCTTATTTATTTATGTTTATTTATAACATTTCAGTATCACCCATCACCCAAAGCTCTCTCGACAGCTTACAAGAGAAAGTCTAAAACAAAAGACATTGATGTGGTATTTAATGTAACAACCATAAGTTTAAAGCAGGATAAAACCGAAGTTGTAACCAAATACAAACCAAAAGGAGTGTAGAAATCTGAAGATGCACTGATGTGATTTTTAAAACCAAATGGCTAAGAGGCCTGATAAAATAACGAGGCCTTCACTGTGTGCTGTAGGCACCAGGCAAGCTTCTCTGGGGAGGGCATTCCACAACCGCAGTGCCAGCTCTGCTGATGCCTGCACTTCAAAGTAGGATTGACAGCTAACACAGTTGGAAAAGAACTGGCAGAATACAGTGGCAGTGGCTATCCCCTGTGCACAAGCTCACTGCCCTATTCTGGACTAGCTGAGATTTCTGGACCATTTTCAAAGCAGTCCCACATATAATGCATTGCAGTCATCCAGAAGAGAGGCTTCCAAAGTGAGGATAAGTGTAGCTAGGCTCCCCTTGTCCAGGTAAGGATATATTTGGTATATCGGTCTACAGTGATAACAAATGCTCAGTGCTACCAAGTCTATTTGTGCTTCCAATATCAGTCTGGGGTCAGTCTAATAATTCACTCCATCAGATGGGCAAGCCATATATGACATTATTGCAACTCAGTATAGTCATCGGTGTTAATTGCCATAAGATGGTTGCACAGTTTTAAACATGGAGTTGGAAAATGGATCATTAAATATAACAGCATGCTTTTCCTAACCTGAACTTATCTGGGCACAATGATCAGCACTTGAGGCCTTCCTCTGAGAACCAAGCTTTCTTTGATTCTTTCCACATTCTGACCCTTCAGAGCTGCAAGAGAATTCTCTTCTACCTTTAGCTGGAGGTAGACTTAAAAAGAAACGGTGGTTCTGCACTTCACTTAGCATCATTCCCTGTAACCGTTCTGTGATGCCTATTCCTCTGAGCATGAAATGTGGTGTTAGTTTTGCCTGGCCCAGACGCTGCAGCTGACATTCTGCCCATGGCCTAGTATTTCATCACGTGGTTCCACAGAGTTCCATAGTCTCCTGGTCTATTTCTGGGTCTAGTTCCAGGCAATAGTCACCCTATTTAAAGCCTGAATTGTTTAGGACAGAACTTTGTCCATCCCAAGGAAAGAATTCCATTTTGGAGAAAGTGGGGGGGGGGCTGATCTCAGTGGTGGGTGGGGCTAGAAGGAAAGGGATGGGGACAGAAATGCAGAGGCTGAAATTTAATGATCTTACCAAAGAGAGGTATTTCTGTCTTTTAGCATGGTGAAAAATCTGCACTAAAGCTGAGAAATCACCAGATGTTTGGCAGTCGGCAAGGGAAAGGGTAGGGCCAGGAGAACTAGATTTGGCTCCCAGCCTATGGTTCCCCGCTTCTGATTTAGGCTGAGATACTTAAAATAATGTCTTATATAAACCTGCCACCCACTCAGTTCATCAGGGAGCTTTGCTGAGTGTTCCACCCCCATCAGGCCAATTTTCATGTGTGGGTTTCCATGGGATGCCCAGACATGCCCACTTCCCTGATGGCATGTCAGTGTCTCATTAGATCTCTTGCTCTGGCCGTCCTTAGGGGCTGCTTATTCTCTGGTTGTGCTCTGCTGTATTAACTTCTAACATACCAACAGGAAGACATGAAGCGGCTTTTCCCTGCTTCAAAAAATATTGATGTAGAATATTTTTGTCTTGCCTTTCCATCACAGACAGCAGATGCCCAAGGCAGCCATCATTAAAAATCTCTACATGAGAAATTAAAACACAATAAATCTCACCCGGAACATAATAGCCTTGTTTACACCCCAAGACTACTAAACTTGTAGTCTTACAATAATTGTGTTGGTATTCTAGGAAGGACAGAATTCTGATGGTATTGAGCAAAACACACGTATATTTCCTATTTTAGTGTTATTACAAGAGGAAACCTACTGTCCTGGAAGAGTGTTTGAGGGTTCTCTTGGAGTTTCCTCTCCAAGGAACCTGGGTTTCCAGAATACAGTCCTTCCTGCCACCTCTCCCTTCCTCCCTTTTTAGCTGCTGTGGAAAGACTCGCAAAAGTGCCCCAGGAAATTTCTGAAAGAGGGTTTTCCAGTGGGCAGGGAGGAAAGGAAGACAAAAGGCCAGGATGCAATGTTTTCTGTAGCTTTTCCAGCCCAAGGATCCTGTTCCTGCCCCCCATTGGTATAGTTAGTCTAGGTGGTTCAAAGACCTTTCTATAATCAGGAGGAGGAAGAGGTAAGAGAGATACACCTTCTGCCCTGCCACCAGCAGCCTAGCATGGCCCTCAATATATGGAAGCTTCCAAGGCTGGAGACGTCTACCTAACAAGGCTGCAATCAAGAGGATTGTACTTGGAAAGTATTGTAACACCCAGTTTTGTTTTTGTCACCAGAAACCATGTGCAGTTTATTCCCACATGCTTTGATTGTCTTGCAAAGGAAAAAGGTGGTCCACTGTAGAAGCCATGGATTCTTTGAAATTTGCATGTATTGGTGCCTGTTGAAGATTTCTCTGCCATTCTTAGTCCTGATTCTGTAATGGGGATGGAGATCATACTGCCACTTCTTTGTTTCTAAAAGAGTGTGTGTGTGTGTGTGTGTGTGTGCGCGCACGCACACGCGCACGTGTATAAGTACAAATAATATACAGGGTAGAGCATGGTCATAGAAAGCATTCAAAGAAAGGCTGTGGAATTTGTCCTGGAGGTCAGAGGTGATGTGGAATCCAAGCAACAATTGATATTATAGTTTGTACATCCTAGAACAAATCAAGACAGAACTTTCTGTAGATACCAAAGGACAAAACTGAGGCTGTCATACATCATGAGAAGGCAAGCCTCCATGGAGACGACGATCATGTTAGTGAAACTTGAAGGCAGAAGACACAAGGGAAGACCAAGTAGGAGATGGATTGAATCCATAAAGGAAGTCACGGTTTCGAACTTGGAAGAGCTGAATGGAGCTGTCATGGGCAGGAAATTCTGGAGGGCTTTCATTCATAAGTTGGAGACAACCTGATGGCACGTAACAATATTGGGTTCATTGTATTTAATGTGCAAATCTATACATACACATTTTAGTGCACCTGTTTTGAGCTCATATCCAAGAGAAATAATCTAGAGAATACAGAGTACCGTGTGAATCAATGTCACAGTGCTTCAAACACAGTTGTATGGTGGAACCAAGGCTGGTGGTGACTCCACATAAGCACTTCTGGGTTAGCAGGGGAGCTGATGTCATCCACCACCTGTTGGTTTGTTGATATGGATCAACACAGTTGCCTGCATTTTTTGGGGCATCTCTTTGGGGCTGTGACTATGGGGACTGACATTTATATCATATCATCGTATCATATCATATATCATACCATACCATACCATACCATACCATACCATACCATACCATACCATACCATATGTTTATCTTCAATGGCACCCCATAGCCAAAACTCTTTGGGAAGTTTACAATATTCCATCAAGTTAGATAATAAAATACAATAAAATGTCCTAATAACAGAAAATCCCTCCCTCTTGTTGCCACCTGCCGAGCCTCCTTTGGAGCCGACAGTCAGAGGAAGGCCTTGGAGGCTGAGCACAGTGTCAAAGCAGATCGTGGCTGGAAGTGGCACTCCAACAGGTATGGCAGTCCCGAGCCATGAGGCTTTAGAGGTTAAAACCGGCACCTGGAGTTGGCCCAGAAGCACACAGGCAGCCAATGCAAGTGGTCCAAAACTGGTCTTATGAAGAACTCCTGCACTTCAAGGAACAGCACGAGACCAGTGTTCAAGGACCCCAGAGTTGCATGTTGCAGCTACGTTTGTGCCGCCCTGGTCGGGCTGTGGGGAGGAGGTTGGAAGCCTCTGCTTCTGTTTTCAGCTGAGTGTGGTTTGCTGGCATGCTATTTCCTTCTGTACTGTTTCTGTACAAAATTCTTCTCTTACGGTTACTGTGTAGCACTTTTCCTTAGAAGCGGTTTGAACTCTAAAATCCCCATGTGTAATGCCTGGCTCCTTGCGGCTCGTAGCTTTTCAGTGCCTGTTACAGACTGCATTCCTTAGATCCACATGGAACTGTCAATAGTGAGTCAGGATTATCTAATTTTTTCAGGGCCCTTGCTTACAGTTCACTTGTAATACATCAGCTGCTGCTTGTAGCGCTCTAAGATTTGCCTTTATCCTTGATGCTTCCTTTTAACACAGATGCATAAACTGGATTGGGTATTTTGCTGTTCTCACATTTTCTCCCCACTATTCTTCTGCAGGAGCAAATACTATTTTGCAAGATTTGGTGGGGCACAAAGTCTCTACTTGCTACAGCCGTTCCAGCCCCTTTTTCTCATTGTTTTTGGTCCACTCCAGTTTGCCCCCTGGAAGTAGACTCATAAAACTGCTATTGATGGAGCAATTGGGATAGTTTAGGAAGTGATGGCTTCTATTGGGTCTTTATAAAACAGCTGGAGAGAGAGCCCAGAGAGGGCTGGAGATGTATTTGATCCGAAAGTCTCCAAAGCAGACTCTTCTGGCTTGTCCAATCACCCTGCAGAGGTCTGGAATTACGAGATCATAGCTTCTTGTTAGCTTTGGTCCATAGCAAAAGATGGTTGGTGCCAAGACGGCAGCACCTTACTACTTTTTAAAGTCAGTAAATACACATTACTGCTTGGAGTGCTCCATAAATTCATTACGTTCTGAGATTTACATTACTTCAAGCATGCCAATGAAAAATCCAGGGCACTTTCAAACTTGTATAGGGTTTCTCCTCCCTGCAACCTCACACTTTTAGAAAGCATTTATGCTTTTGGTAAACACTTAGAACAGAAGGATGACGGATATGTTTAAGCTCCTGGAATATCCTTAGGGAGTAAGCCATTAAAATCTTTTCTCTTTTAACTTATTTTGGAAGTACTTTGTTGATTTTTGTATTGCACATGAGCACCATTTCCTGGTGGAAAAGCCAGCCATAAATCAAATAAAAAACAAATTTAATATTTTCACATTCATTGGTAAGAAACAGCAAGCACAATACTTCACAATGAATAATTTAGCCCAATCTGTCATTAGCAGTTACAGTCCAGAGGCAGCTTTTCATGATGTGGCCACCTGGTGGTGGGTGCTTGCAACTGCTTCTACATGTCAGCTGCTCTGATTGATAATTTTGTGTATAATCCTTACTAAAAGGATCTATTCCCACCATAAACTTTGTCAGTGTGTGGCTGATCTGTGTGACCATCTAGGTGTGCATGAACTAATTTGATGTGCAGGTTTCCAAGCTCTTTCATATGATACCTTCCCAAAGTGATGTTATAATCTTCCATTTGAGTTAATTTTAAATGTCAAGGATTGAGCAAATACAGAGTGGTCTTAGTGAATAGAATTATAATTTGGTTTGGTCCAGCATTGAAAGTGATTCTCACAACACTGTGTACATGTAAGTGTGCACATTCTCTGGTGCAAGAACAGAACGTGTCAACTAGGTGATATAAATGCAATAAATTACTTTATTGAGTTGATGAGAAGGCTATTCATTTCTATAGATTAGGGTGCAGTTAGTGCATAAGATAACACTTACACAAATTTATGTGCAATCTCTTAATATAGAGTTTTATTGATTGGTCTTTATTTTCCAGCTTCGCAAAGCTATCATTGATCATATCTCCGACTCCTTCTTGGATACTACTGTTCCACTTCTAGTGCTCACTGAAGCAGCTAAAAATGGAAGAGAAAAGGAAATAAAGGAATATGCAGCTATATTTAAAGAGCACACATGCAGACTTATTGAGGTGGGTTTGATCACAAACCAGTGAAGTTCAAACATGGTATGACATGAGCTCTTCATTTAGAATTCCCTTTTTCTTTGTGCTTTTGTTATATGAGCATGGTAAATTGATGATTGCTTCAGTGATTCTATTCCCAGCAACATATATTTGCTTATTCCTAATAGTTGTAACCTACTTATATATTTTTGAGTGGTGTGGCTCCTTGTCTGTGCTTCTTGGAAGTTCTTTTAGCATCTGCTGTTTTTTCTTGGTGACAGTACTGGAATTATGTTTGTGGTTGTATCAAATAGTTCCAGACTCTTTATAGCCATATGTGAATTATGTACCCTAATGATTGTGGTACATTTGTACAAACACGTCTTCTCTCATGAAGATTGCACATAGCTCAGAGATGGATGAACCTCAGCCTTGCATCATCTACTTGGTTTTTAACTAGAATCCCAATATCCACCGTCGTCGCTCAGGGGCTGGAGCAAATTACCTACTGCATCTCATGAGTCATACATGGGATGACAGAGCGTGCAGTTCTTTGCAAACAAAAATGTATCCTTCACTTTTGCCCAAACTTTCTTCAGTTCAGCAGCCTAATTTGGGGGCAGGGGTGAGCCGGAGAGAGCCTTTTTTTATTAAACAGCAGAGTAAGCTCTTTGTTCTTGGTAAACAGTAAAAGTCAGAAACCCTTTCCTATCTACTGCAAATCATTCTGTGACTTATCAGAAGGTCTTGAACTGGTATCATCTTGCATATAGATAACTTAGTATTGCTTGCGATACTGTCAACAAAGCCAGCTCCAGCAAATGATGCGGCATATACAAGTCCAGTGCTCTGGAGCTCTGGGGCTCCAGACCCCTAACCAAATCTACTGCTGACTGCCCTAGCCACCCATTTTTAAAAAACCAGCCCAGAGCTCTGAATAGTGGTGGATGGCTGAGTCTAGCTACCATGTTAATTTCCCATGACGATCTGTGATGAAGTGTCGATCTGAGCCACTGTGGGGAGTTAAAGCAGCAGCTAGATTCAACCAGCTCCCCAAGTTAAGTGCCTCCTGCCATCATCCAAGCTGAAGGGGGACACTGACAGAGGAAGAGTCTCACCACAAAGTTCTATGCCCAGGCTCCTCTTAAAATAGAGTAACCCTCTTCCTATCAAGTTGCGTAGCCAGAAGCCGATTGGGTGAGGTGGGATTGCTTCTTAGATACACTAGTTGCTTTTGCTGGCTTTGGGTGTCTCTTGCCTTGCTCTGCACTCTGCTTCACAGACATCTATGAAATGACCTGTAATATTTCTGGGATTTATGACAATGTGAAAAAGATATTGAAGGGCCTTTGCATCCTCTGGAGAACAAGCTTTTCCAAAATTTAACTGCAATATAAAAACTGTATTGGCGACAGGGTTGATTTGGTCCCTCTTTTGTGTTTTGTTTTGCTTCAATAACTTTCACCTTTACCAGAAATATTATGCATGAGGTTGAAGTGTGTGTTTGTTTTTTGCTGTGCCTTGTGAAATTGGTGTAAGTTTTCTGGCACTTAAATGTCGGTGTGATGACTACAGCAGAATTTCTAGAGAGGCAACCATGTGAGGCATGAAAAATAGCAAGAGTTATGTGGCACCTTAAAGATTAACATCTCCATTGAATCTGTTTGTATCTGATGAAGTGGACAATGTCTGTGAAAAACTAGGCCAGGATAAAGTGTGCAATTCTACAGATGTTTAGGTAGCAAGAAGTCTTGCAACCCCAACATCCAGCAGTCAGTGGGGAATGCTAGGAGTTAGTTGTAGGACATGTTTTTCTCTCTAATTATCCATAGGATTGTGACCGACATTTCTTGGACTTGATATTGCATGGTACCCAGTGTGTGTGCAGAGATGTAGTTCTGTCAACCTGGAATTTAGTTTTAGATTCTCACCCCTCATGTTTTGGTTTAAAGTTTCACTGAAAGGAAATTTCACTGTCTGAATCTGGACTGACTTAAGAGTTCATGGAAATGTATTTGCCTATTATTAGTATTACATGCATTTTGTATGTGCAAACTGCTCTACAAACTGCATCCTTCCTGGGGACGTGATAAAGGAAGCAAATTTGTATCAAAATCAAGTTGGAACTGGCTAGCACAACACTTTATGAAACATGAAAAGGAAGGAAATTAGCCAATTAAGATAAAATGAATGTAGTTATTATCATTCCCTGCTGAGGATGCATGAAGGATCCTTCAGTACTGTCACATTATGCTGAAGTTTCTTTGGAAAGAGAGAAGAAACAGGGAAGGACATCTGGAAATCGGGAGAAACACATGGTACCATCTCTGATGTAGACGGTAAAGAAGCAAATGAGTGCAAGCCATTGAAGTTCATCTTGGCAAATCAACTACTGAATGAGTAGCTGCAGCTTTTGGTGTTTCCCCAAATAAGCCTTATGGGGATTTCTTCTGAGAAGCTTTTGAGTTCCTGGTATCTAAAATTTATTCTCTATAACAGTTGTCCGTTTTTAGGCATCCAATTTCTTTTGAGGATAGCTATGTTGATCAAGCAGCACAGTATGGTCCAGCATTTTATAGATGAAAATAAGGACACTGTTGTTAAAACAGGGGAGTTGCAAGTAAGACCACTACCCAACCACTCATCACTCATGATGAGATTGCGGCCACCGGTTTCTGAAGCAAGATGTTAAGTAGGTTGATCATAAGCATTTACTTCATTTTACTTTGTTCATGGGAAGTAGGAATGTATGGACCTTGTTAAATCATATTGTTGACTCAATGACAGAATCCAATGTCGTGCACTTCCAAAAATACAGAAGTCCCCCCACCCACCAACTGCATATTTTCCCACTTCAGGCTGTGGGGGGAATATGTACAGTTTTCCTCGTTGTTGGAGTTGCTTTCTTGTATTTTTCTATGACTAAATTTGCATGAAATTACTGAACGTAAGAAGTTTAAGCCCACAGAATCTGTGCAACTTGGGAAAAGCTTGTCCACTGCAGAATCCTCAGATTCATAGAAATCTGAACTCATTTGAATCCTTTGCAGATTTCTTCAAGATAGAAACAGAGTGAGTCAGAAGGGGTCTCCCAGGCCATCTAGTCTGACCCCCGGTTCCAGCCGGCTCTGCTCACAACATGGCCTCCTAAAGGGAAGTAATAGCTCTGTTCTGTTCCTTGTTAGGCCACATTTGAAGTACTGTGACTATTTCTGGGTACCTTGATTTAAGAAACATACTGAAACTTGGAACATGTCTAGAGAAGAGAAACAAGGAGGTCAAGGGAGTGTGGAAACCAAGCCCTATGGGGAATGGTTGAAAAAGCTGGGTATGCTTAGCTTAGCATTCTTAAGTATCTGCCATGGGGTTCTGTGCTAGATGGAGCAGAAATGTCCTCTGTAGCTCCTTAGGCCTGCATTAGAAACTTCAGGGAAGCAGAGTTTAGCTAAACATAGAAGAAAGTTCCTAATAGTGGGAGTTATTCAGTAGTGGAATATAATGCTTTGTGATAGTGGAGCAGAGACTGGGTGCAAAAGATGCTATTGCTTTGCTCTGCAGCACAGAGTTTCCATTAAAAAGGGGTTGGATTGGGTGTGACCCAAGGTTCCTTCCAACTCTTTGATTCTAACACCCAAGTCCAAGAATACTCAGTCTAGCCATGATGTAGTGCCATTCCAGTCAGTCCCGGGAATGTGGCTGGAGCAGCCGAGCTAGCATCTGAAGCAGTGGCAAGACCATTTCTGTGGTTCAAAAAGGAAAGAGCCTTCAGCTACTTCATATTTAAGCCAACACTGAAATTATTGAAATCGCTTCCTTTCTAGGAAGTTGTTGGGTATCCCCTTCCACTTCTGCAGGGGATGAATGATTTTGTGAAAGTGTATGTGGGGAAAGGGGGAAATACTTGGTCAGTCTACATTTAATCCCTTGACGGATCTGGTTGTAATGTTTACAAAAAAGCTGCAGAATCACTAGCACTTACCATCTGGGACTAGAGGAATTGTAGAAGAGCTTCATATTTTCAATCCATCTGTGGGTATTTGCAAGTCGAGTCAAGATGCATTTGTTTTCCTTCCCAATGTTTAACTTGGGGCAGAAAGTTGAAATGTGAAGTTGGGTAGGTGAGAGTTTTGTTTTAGTTGGTTTTTGAAAACTTTTCCATATATAGGAAAGAAAGAAGTAGAGATGTTAAACATGCAAATATAGGAGAAAGTGACCTTGATGTCCCTAGGAAGAGCAGAGGTGTGAGAAATGTATGCCAACAAAGTATTTATCATCAGTCTCTCCAGAAGGCAAAATCCTGGAGCTAGTGTGGATGATAATTTAATAATGGAAGGTACCAAAGACAGGGACTGTTCTGGGCCAAAAGGGCCGGTGTTCAATATAGATACGCTGCATCTAATGATTTGGTTAGGAGGAGCAAAGCACAATGCACATTTTACTCCTGATGCGAATGAGGAACCAGGCTGAACTGGCAGTGAAACCCAGCATTACTTTGGGGCAGTGGACAGGTTTTTGCACCATTCCATTGTTACATTTGCTTGTTTAAAGTGTTTATATGCCATTCAATAGTACCAGAGCCTCTGAATGGCTTAACAAAAAAAAAAAAAAGGAAGTGTTTCCAGGCACCTGTAATGTGCTGAGGATATGGACCAACCGGTTGCGAAGTGGTTTTGATAGTGCATCATTTAGATGAATGCTTCTCTCCCACTGCATAATTTAACATGAAAACTGGAAAATCACAATCATTTGGCTTAACAGTATCATTGGTGGCACATTTTTATTTACACAGGATGTGAATTAAATTAGCTCCCTGAAATAGTGCAGGTATTGAGACTTCACAAATGCTCTGTCTCTTCAGTCTAGGCAAGGCTGGGTGCCTTGAACTAGAAATTAGCCAATATTTACTAGAAAACATTTTTTCTGATAGTCTTTTCTGGTAAGTTCTCTTTTTCATGCTCCTCCTGAACTGTTGAAGAATTTTCATTCTTCCCTGAAGAATATTTGGTAGCATAGACTCCCCATTTTCA